TTAGTTAATGGCGTCTACAAGCTGAACCTTTGCTCAGAAAAATGTTTTTTAACAAGCAGCAGAGATGTGACAGCTGACAGCAGGAACGTGGCATAAAAGACTTGGTCACTCAAACAGTGCAGACCTAACGGAGATTAGAAATGGTGCTGTAGAAGACTTAAAGTGCACTGAGAAGATACATATTGGAAAGTACAACTGTACAACGTGTTGTGAAGGTAAGCAGCATAGATTGCCTTTTCCAAAAGATGCTGAGAGAGCAACAGATCTATTGGATTTAATACATTATGACCTATGTGGCCCAATAGGAATTAGGTCCATAGGAGGCTCGAAATATTTTTTATGTCATACCAATACATTATTGTGTTTTTATACCTTGGATACCATCTACATAATTCATTACTTTATGCCCGTGCGGGCATAAAGTACACATTATGGCCCGCACGGGCATAAAGTACACATTATGGCCCGCGCGGGCATAAAGACGCAAAAAACAATTTTCAATTAACTTATTCTTTATTAACAAAATATAAATTTACGCTTAAACATATTATTTTTGTCAAAAAATTATGATGTTTGCACACTGATGACAATTTGCGAAGTGACACTTTTTTCCTAGGTATTTTTATTATTCACAACCAACTGGTATGACATAAAAGTTTGTATGTACCACGGGTACTAATAGATAATATACCCTCGGGCGACTGTCGCCCTCAGGGCATAATCATCTACTTAGTACCCTTGATACATAAATAACTATTATGTCATACCAGTACATTATTGTCTTTTTTTACCTTAGATAGGTACCATCTACATAATTCATCACTTTATGCCCGTGCGGGCATAAAGTACACATTCTGGCCCGCGCGAGCATAATGTACCATTCTAAGCATCAGGTTGACAATTACGCCGCAAATGACGTCGTTTGCGTGTACGCAAAGTTGCATCGATTTCAAATAAAGTCCCCCTGGTATGACAAAAAGTTTGTATGCACCACGGGTACTAATAGATATATACCCTCGGGCGACTTACGAACCCTCGGGCCAGAGGCCCTCGGCTTTATAAGGCTGTCGCCCCGACATGATATTTTGACATTAAATTTCATTGACTAACATTGTCAAAATTAAAGAAAAATATTGCTAAGACGTACGTTCAAAAAACCGTAGCAATCTTTGATTGTTTTTTTTTTGAAGACCCGATATAAACTACACAGAGTAAATTAATTATTTTTTTGTATTGTTCTGGGTTGCTATAATAGTTACGTGACACTTTTGTCAACAACTGCTTTCTTGATCTAAATTTGACAAAAACTTACGACCTATTGCGGTAAAGAGGAAAATTTATATTTTGAAATATTTTTGATTGATGTCATTACATAATTAAAAATATATAATTTTTTAAATATCAAAATGAAAACATGCTCATCGTACATAAAATCTTGTATGCACCTCGGTCAAAAAGAGCTTTAACGCCCTCAGCGTGTAAACAGTGTTACACACGCTGCAGGCGTTAAAGCTGTACTTTTTGACCTAGGTGCATAAATAACTATTGAATTTGCAGGATGACCATTCAAATTATGGATTTGTTTATTTTTTGGAGTCGAAAAACCAAGTATCAGATCGTCTCAAAGAATTTAGGAATCTAGTAGAGAACCAACAAAGAAAAAAGATAAAGATTTTGAGATCAGATAATGGTGGTGAGTTCATCAATAATGAGATGAATGTTTTCTTAAGAAAATTGGTATAATTCACCAGCGAACAAACTCATACACTCTAAAACAGAATGGAGTATCTGAGAGGCTAAACCGTACCATAGTAGAGCGGGCAAAGTGTTTATTATTCGAGGTAAACTTAGAAAAAGACTTCTGGGCAGAGGCTGTCAACACTGCCTTTTACTTACGAAACAGATCACCTGCGTCTGGTTTGCCTGATAATAAAACACCTTTTGAAATTTGGTATAATAAAAAACCTTCGGCAATACAGTTGTTATGGTGCATATACCGAAAGAGAAACGATTGAAATAGGACAAGTGGACAGCAAAGAAGATTTTGATGGGTTACAGTGAAAATGTGAAGGGATATAGGGTTTTGTCAGCAGAGATGTGATAGTATTGGAAAATGACGAGGATAAATCAGGCCTATGATGTATCCTGTCCTGTTATTTTAATGGCGGTGTTACGTCTCAACGTCTATTTGTGTCTCAATTTTGACGTATAGAATAAACAGTGACAGATAACTTAACGTTGCTGTTAAAATAACAGAAAATGATACATCATAGGCCTGAATGCTACAGAACAGCAAAAGGTTGCAGAGGGGGTACTAGTTCCAGTGGTGGATCAACCACAGGTCCATTGTGAGCCAACTCCTATCCCTAACATAGAAAATGAACAAGAACCTGAAAATTAGATTGGCAATACTAATTCTACAACCGATTATGACAGTATATCCGATGAAGACATTCAAAACAGTTACAGTGATGTGTTGGATGAAGAAAACAATGAACCAGAGATAGAGGTCTTATCAACCAGGCGATGATAGCGAGTACCTAAACCAAAACACTTCGACGATTTTGTATCCTACATGTGTACCAATTCCAGCTTGGAAGATGATCCTCAAAGTGTAAAAAAAGCGATGCCCAGAGCAGATTCAGCTCAGTGGCAACAAAACACACAATGGAGGATGAAATTAATGCATTTCATGAAAATAGTGTGTGGGAAGTGGTGGATTTGCAACAAGATCGTAAACTGTCTGTAGTTCTGTGTAAATGGATTTTTTGTAAGAAAATAGATGCAGAAAATAATGTTAGATTTAAAGCGAGATTGGTAGCGAAAGGTTTCACGCAGACATATGGAATAGACTTTGATGAGACCTTTAGTAAGTCCAGTTGTAAGACTTTCGACCTTACATATGATGATTGCATTGGCTGTGAAATTAGAATTAGATATCACACATTTGGACGTAACCACATCATTTCTAAATGGTAAGTTGAATGAAATTTTTTTATGCGACAACCGGAAGGTTTTCTTGTTCCTGGAAAAGAAAATAAATTTTTAAAATTGAATAAAGCAGTCTACGGACTTAGGAAAGCCTCTAAGGGTATGGTATGAAAGAGTTGAAATAGTTCTGTCAGAATTGGGTCATCAAAAATCAAAGAATGAACTTTGTCTTTTTAAAAAATCAGGGAAAAGCAACGAGTTAACTATTATTGCGCTTTATGTAGACGATTTTTTCATTTTTAGCTTCCTAGATATAGGAAGCTATGGTGATAGCCCGATTTTGAACATGTCAAAATTTCATTAAATCTTGACGTTTTGGATCATTTTAAGCCTTTTTGGCAAGGTGGCACATTTCCGTCTGTGTGTATGTATGTATGTATGTGTGTGTGTGTTGGCATTTTTCTGAGAAAACGGCTCGATGGAATTTGATGAAATTTTGGAAATAGGTATAAGAAGACGTGTAGGGAAAAGTTACGCAGAGATATAGGAAAAAAAATTATTTCTCTTCAAGATATGACGTTATTGATCTTTTTTTTAAATGGGAACGCCATCTTATTTTCATTGATTGGTTAGAGCTCATTTTGCTTTTAGTTAGGGAAACGACCGCATTTTTCCTACCCCGATCGAGTTATATGTCGACACTATTATCAATATATAGTATAATGTGCATCTATTAACCTGTATTCCTGCCTGAGAGCAAATGCTGCCGGAAATATCTTTTAACAAATTATTAACAAATTGAAAAAAACGTAACACTACCCCCATCGAGTTATGCCCTAAGTCGGGTATCAGATTGAAGGTCTCGATGTCCCCTATCTAAAAAGTCGATCCTGCCTCGTGAGAACTTGCCGGAAAAGGGTGGCAGGGCAGCTTATTAGGGCAAGGGCCCGCGGTCTCAGCTTTGACACCTATCAAGTTTTGCACTGAATGATGTGTCAAATTAAAGGTGTCAATAAGTTGATTTAAGGTCTCTTCGCACAGAAATCCCAAACCAGAAGGAGTGAATGTCATTGTTTGAAACTAGTTTCCTGACTGTTTCCAACCAATGAAATTCGCTCTGACTGGTTTGTGATTTCTATGCGAACAGACCTTAAATCAACTTATTGACACCTTTAATTTGACACAACATTTAGTGCAAACCTTGATAGGTGTCAAAGCAGAGACCGCGGGCCCTTGCCCCAATAAGCTGTCCTGCCACCCTTTTCCGGCAAGTTCTCACGAGGCAGGATCGTCTTTTTAGATAGGGGACATCGAGACCTTCAATCTGATACCCTACCCATCCCAAAAATACGGTCGTCTCCCAGACTATTTATATAAAACAAAAAAAAAAAACAAAAAAAAAAAAAAAAAAAAAATTAAAAAAAAAAAATCTCAAAAATCTCAATAGGTTTCATTGGGACATTTTTGAAATTGAAAAATTGAAAAAAAAATTATATTGAAACCTGAAAAAATGTCAAGACCTATTAAAATGAATTCATGGTTTGAAATGACAATAATTAATGACAATGACAATCATTAATTAGGAAGTTATTTGTTTAGGAAGCGTTATGTCAAAAATTTGACATCTGGTTTCGAATTGTATTGACGAAACAAAAATATTGAAAAATAAATTGGAGTCAGAATTTAAAATTAAAGATTTAAAATAGGGGGATAAGTAGGTACTAGGAGAAAGTGTGGAAATTCAACTAAATAAATGCTCGATAAGGGAGAAAATTCAATTCTTCGCAAAATGCAGAGATACTATCCTAGGGAACCATCGTCCGATTAGCTTTAAAACCCACCTAAATAAGCTATTAACAAAATAATAACAAATATGTGGGTTGACAGTCAAACTTTAATCTTGCAAACTTCTCGATTTCTCTCCACATCTCATCTATAGAGATACGAAAAAGCTCTTGAATAGATCTTTCGTAAGTTATATTTTTTAAACATCCCATCATAAGCACATTAATATGAGTCAATTTCAATAATGAACCTCAAATAAGTGAAACTACTACAACAATTCTCACCTGCTCCAAATCCTGCCACAATCCTAGCCACATAAATGAACCAAACGTTCGTAGCAAATATATGCAATGACCACGATATGGCAAAAGGAACTGTGGTAAACATGCACATATTTTTTCTCCCAAATTTGTCCATTAATGGACCAATTATTAGTGAACCTAGCGGAAGGGCGGCTGTCACACAACTAGCTGAAAAATGTAATAAATTATGATGTTAAAGTTTCAGGCGAGTTCGATAAAAATGAACTTTTACCTATCCAAGAAGCTTGATGTAAATCAATAACAATATCGCTATCATCTGCATTTAGTTGTGGTAGTAAAACAGCACTAAAAGTCATGTTTATTCCAGCTTGGATAACTAGGCAATGGGCTATACATGCCGCTAAAATCTATAAAAAAATATAATTATTCCATAGCTTTATGAACCATTCCCATTAGAAATCAATGACCAATCATTGTTATTTTTTATCGATTGCATTAAAACTACCAATAAAAATTAAGATAAGCCACATTATGAAATAAGCGTTAAATATCGAATTAGGTAACTTTCCTCAGGGTCGTGACAATGATGAAAATCAACTGTTTTACTAAAATATTATAAACATTGATGCTATATTATTAGAATCATATGCAATTTATTTATGATGATATTGTTTTAATTTGGTAACCGAAAATACCTTGTACCTACTTATAGAATAATTTAAATACAAAAGTTCGAGAGATCGCCAGAAAATTTATTTCAAAACCGAAATTAGGCAAACAAAAGGTCAAAGACTTCTGTAATTTATCACTTTTCAGTATTGCACCGATACAATTTCTTACCTGTTTCAAGGAATGTTTCCATAACAAATCCTGACCGTCATTTTTGGAATTATTCTCTAGCAATGCATCTTTTCCATCATTATTTTCCGCATCTCCATTAATAATTTTTTCGGGCATCTTTGGCTTCAAGTTGAAAAATAATATTAAATACTATTCACATTTTAAATTGCATCACCCTGTTGAAGTAGACTTTACACGCGTATGGTGTGATGGTTTGCGGTAGACTGCGCTAATGTTTAAGGTTTTCAGAGGTCTAGGTTATGGAACATCGTTTTGTCGGTTACGCTTATTTATAAATGAAAATTGATTGAAGTTGGCAATTTAATTTTGGTTCGGTGGATATTGGACTGAATGGAATGGGACTGGTTTGAAAGAACGCGGCGATCTTTAATGATTTCAGGATAAGTTTAATCAGGATTAATGGGGCTCAACTAGATGAAGAGAAATAATATGGATGGGGTGTTACAAGAATACCTATGGACAAAATATTATTGCATTAGAGTTACTGAGCTATAGGTAGCTCAGTAACCTTGTATTGTTAAATGTATAAACAAACCAATTTTTCGAGGTTGATGGGAATAAGTTTCTATCCTCGGACTTTCTTAGAATTCTGGTTTTATAGGATTAAGTTTTCTGATAATATTTTTACGGAATAACATTGGTGTGGAGAAGTCATCAAAGTCGACGTCGCTGTTTAGAAGACCCGAGAATGAATATTTAAGAAATCCATTGTGCGATTTAAATTAACAAGCATTATTTAGGTGATTCTAGAAATTTCAGGATCAGTTGGATTGGTATAATATAAAGCGAGTATTTTGTAAGTCAGGCAGTTTAAATAAAAGATTGCTTGTATAAAGTTAAGCAAACGCGATAAGCGATTGGTGAATATTCCCAGTAAACCCAGCTACAAAAAGTTAAGGTAGAAATTCACGTAACTACTACTTTACCTTACAAAATTTTTAAGTTTTTTTCAAATTACAATAAGGTAAAACTTAAAAGCTCTTGATTGAATCCCCAAAAGTTTTTCCGGTGTGTCCAAAGCTGGCAAAAATCACTATTTGAATTATTCTCGGCTCTTGAATTGCCTTCAAAGTTCTTGAATACCACTAGAAATATTTTCGAGCGATTCCAATTACAATTTGGATTTTTACCGGCTTTTGATTGCCTCTATATAGTAATCTTTCATTTATATTAATACCTAAATCGAATAGGTCTATTCCCAATTTGAATTTGTTTCTTCCCAAATCGAAATTGATTAGTCGCAATTTGAAGTTGATTAGTACCTAATTAAAAATGATTAGTTCCAATTTGATTTTGTTAATTCCCATTTTGATATTGTTAGTTCCCAATTTAAAGTTGCTTAGTCCCAATTTGAAGTTGAAAAGGTATAGTAAAATTATTTAACGAATCAAGAACCGGTAGATAATATAATCACAATTTGACCTATAAGAGTACGTTCTTCATTTCTCTATAGGATAGTGTTTTGGCGAATCAAGAGCCGATAATAGTCAAAATTTGGGTTATTTTCAGCATTTGAATTGCACTACCACTTCAAAATTGACACTAAATTATTACCAAAGTTTCAATTTTTCCGGTTTGCGAAACATTTTAATAAGAATTAGAAATATTACCGTGATCAGCTCTTGATAGCCTCTAAAAAAAATTATCCAACGTATCAAAAGCCGGTACTCTGGTAGCACCTCTGCTTGGTGGTGTCAGGAACTAGAACATCTCAAAGCGACGACAAGAGAAGCTTTAAATAAAGCTAAAAACACCAAACTACCTGAGGATTGGAACCTTTATAGGTACCCAGTATAAAAAAGTCGTACGACAAAAACCAAAAGAGATGCCTGAAGGACATACTGCAACAAAATAGAAAACTATACGGAATAAAGACCCATTCCGGGAAATTGGTATCCTGGTGCAAGGAGGGTGGCACCTTCACTGTCGGCCTTCAAGAAAGCACAGAGTTACTACTAGCAACCCACTTTTCTGACTCCACAACCACAATTGTGGAGGATCAGACGCAGGTTACATAAATATACCCTCTGTGGTTGATTGGCAACTAGCGAATCAGATAATATACGAGGAAAAAATAGGTTGGGCAATTTCAGACTTCTCCTCCTTCAAAGTACCAGGACCTGACGGCATCTATCCAGCCCTAATTCAGTGAGGTCTGAAGCCACTTTTGCCGCACCTGGTAGGGATGTTCAGGGCGTCCTTGGCGCTGAGATACATACCCAAAGCTTGGAGACAAGTTAAAATGGTGTTCCTACCCAAACAGGGAGGATGGACTACACAACCCCCAAGGCATATCGCCCCATAAGCCTCTCATCATTTTCTCTAAAAACAATGGGGAGGCTATGCGAAAGGTACATAAGGAATGAAGTGTTGTCAACCAATCCGGAAACTGTTACCCGAAAGGATTGTACAGATACCTAAGTGTGCAGGACGTCAACATTGAAGGAATGGTCACAAGGGGCTGTCCGCAGGGAGACGTGCTATTACCTCTCCTGTAGAACATATGGTTCTGGACAGCCTCATTGTCCGCCTTAACCTTCGTCTTCCCGGGTGGGGTACAAATATACCCCAGAAAACAATTTTTCTGGCATATTTTCCTAAAAAGTGCATACTTTTTATGACTGATTTTATTTTGTGTCAGTAAGGGCTTTGCATATAATTAGTGATCATCAAACATTTTCTATTTGTTTATTTTCTAGAAATAATAATTTTTGCATAGCGTGGGACTCATGTACCGAATGAGGTACCTCACGTGGGGATCTGTGACTACTCTATCAAGTAGTCACCTTGCAGGAAATTTGCAGGTTGGACATAGATTTCCAACCTACAAAATTTAGAAACCACGATGATACAGCTGGTCAAGGAATATCTATGGAGCAGGAAGAGAACGAAAGTTTGCGAGAAGTTAGAAGGCTGAAATCTGATTTATAAATCGAAAGATGGCATGCAATGGTCGAAAATACCATTTCCTATTTTTTTTCGCTAACTGTACTCTTGTTATAGGTTGATTTTATCTATTATAACTGTTTAGTAAAAATAAAAACATGTTCAAGTATCAGAAGTATCATTTTTATCATGGGGTACGAATATACCCCACGTGGAAATCTACGTATTTTTCATGGGAAGGTTAACAATGAAAACCACTACACAATAGCTTACGCAGATGATGTAGTCATCTTGCATAGAGGTAAATTCGGGAACTCGCTTTGCGAACGTATGTAACATGCTCTTCGAATTATAGAAAGATGGTGCACGGAACACACTCTGTCCATCAACCCCAAAAAGACTGAAATGGTCCTATTCACAAGAAAGAGGAAACTGGATACTTGCAAACTAACATGGAACTCTCATATTGCTAAGAGAATACAGAAAGCATATATCGCCTATGAACAGTGTAGACGTACTATCGGTAAGACCGGGGGTTCTCCCCCAAGGTAGTTATGCTACGATCCTTTTTGGCTTGCCTAAGTCCTTGAACACATTTTCTAATGCTTTTATGGAATCTTCACTCGTTTTTTTCTTTAACGGACAGAATTTTACTTGCCGAGAAACTATTTATCACAACAAGAATTTGTGTCTTTCCTTGGGACGCGACCAGTGGGCCTGCATGTTCAATATGCCACGTGTGCATTTTTTCGTTGGGCTTCTCTTGGGCCTGACACAAATCATTTCATTTTCCTGTATGTGATTTTCCTTGCAGACAGTCTCTACAGTTTAATACATATCGAAATATTGCAGCTTAATCCACCAGCGACCTATTCGTGAGTGTAGTTCTTTTTGGAGTGCTATAGCTCTTACGGAATTGCAATCTGTATATATTGTGAACTCTCTACCATACAAATATACTCGAAAGTACTCGACTGCCGTTGCTATTGCCAGCGTTTCCAAGTCGTCGGAATAGTATTTCGAATCACACTCCGTTGTTCTTCGACTGTAGTATGCAACTGGTCTGGTACACTCTGCCTTATTCGTTTAGAGTAGAATTGCTCCAAGATCCAGCACACTGGCGTCAGTATGTAAATGCGTTTCAAATACTGGATTGATGATCTGCAGGATAGGTTCGTTGATTAGTAGCATAATTAAATTCTGTCGAACCTCTTCACACTCTGGTGTCCAGGTGAAATCAGCATTTTTCTTTAGTAGTGGTGTTATTGGTGCTGTTTTGTTTGCGAGCCCTTCAATAAACTTTTGAAAGTAACCGGCGAGTCCCATCAGTTCTCTCACTCCTTTGTCATCACTTTTCTTGGGTTAGGTTTTACTGTGCCGTTTTTTCCCAAATATTCAGTACGAGTCTGGAAGAAGCTGCATTTTTCAAGATTTAGTCTAAATCCGGCGTACGGAAGTGGTCGTAGGACTAGCTAAAGTTTCTTTAGTTCTTCAGCCACTGTTTTACTGGGAATAAGCACATCATTCAAATAAACGAGAGCTATATTGTCCTTCAACTTTTCAAGAGCCTTATCAATTGCTTTCTGGTAGCATGAAGGCGAGCTTACGAATCCAAATGGCATCGTGTATTCATAATGTCCATCTGGAATTATTAACGCAAGAAGGTGCTTTGAGTTATTTTCCACCAGAACTTGATGAAACCCTGCCTTCATATCCAGTGCACTATAATATTTAGCGGTTCTCAATGCATCAATTTGGTCCTGAATTTTTGGTAAAGGATAGGGATTTTTCACAACCCTTCTATCAAGGTCTCGATAATCGACGCAAAGACGAAGATCCCCGTTCTTTTTCTTAACTTGCACAATCGGGCTGTCATATTCAGATATACTTTCCTGAATTATGCCTTCGCTTAAAAGTTCTTCAATTATTTTTTTAAGTTGCATCGTTTCAGCATAGGCTAGAGGTCGTGGTCGATACGCGACAGCAGTTTCATCCTTCAAGGAGATCGTCAGGTGTCCTATTACTACTGCTGGTGGAGATTCTTCCATAGCTTCCCTTAACATCTCTATTTTCCTTTCCACTCTCTCGTTCATTCCTGACGTCTGTTGTTGATTAACATTGATTTGTTGCGTCAGCATTATGTTGCAAATCCAAAATTGACTTTTTGCAACTTTGACAGGCTGTGAAACCTGAACGGTTAATTTTAGAGGAGAACCGATTTTACATTCCTATCTTAGATTTTTATAAACTATCATTTGACATCAACTTTGAATTAAATCCATGATTAAAAATTTCAGTTAAATTTAATCTCCGGTTAAGTTCAAAGTTGGTGTCAAATGATAGTTTATCAAAATCTAAGACAGGAATGTGAAATCGATTCTCCTCTTAAATTAACCAATGAGGTTTTACAGCCTGTCAAAGTTGCAAAAAGTCAATTTTCAACTGTCAATATTTCCAAAACAGTTGAACTTAGGTATATGGTATATCACATGAAATCTGCTCAGAATTTTACGTAGAATCCAAATATGCAATCACATATGGGGTGTTCCATTTAAAATAGTTTATCCCGTTTGCCAAATTTTCAAATTGATCCGCTTTTCAGTTCTCCATAAACGTCTAATACGCCATCCACCGTAGGACACCCTGTATATACAAAATTATGGTAACATATCAACATAAAAACAAAATATATGGCAACATCTGCCGATGCAGCTTGATGAGATTTTCAAAACAAAACATGACAATGACACAAGAACAAGTGGAGTTTCTCACCATGCACCTAACGTCGATTGACATCTTCTGCATCTAACATAGATAATAATAGTTTTTGAATATATAAAAAACTGGACGGTGTTCAGTGTAAGCTTGGTAAGCATCAAGCTTGTTATTGGCAAACGTCCAAGTAATGCTTAGATATAATAAAAATCAAGCTTGTTTAAGTGGAAACTGGGCATTGTTCAGTCTAAATGGTATAATTCACGGGACATCAATTGAATAATTGATTTTTACATCAGATGTATTAGAAATTTTAAATGTTTAGCAGGTCCATATTAGTTGTCTTTATGAAGTCATCAGGACTTCCAGCAGTGAACTGATTGTAAATTTTAAAACATACTTCAAGCAGACTGCTTGAACCCCTTTGTCATGTGTACCTACCTTATATCAATTAAATTTAAAAAAAAATGAATAAGAGAGAATGAAAGTTCTTTTCAACGCCCTGTACCTCGTTATTGAGGCTGTAAAGTCAAGTACCATCAACTTCTTTATTTTATATTGGCCGCTTTATATATTATTGGAGTTTTGGATTCCTTGGAAAATTATAAGCATATTTGCACCCCTGTGCCTATAATATACAGTACCATTAACTGCATTCGAAACAAAAATAGGAGCTCCTTGTCAATTGTGATTACATTTGAGTGTTGAAAAATGTTCAGAACTACTTACTTAAAAGATATGAGGAAGGTGCAAAAGCCATAATCCAAAGTGTATCAAAATTTAAGTGGATTTTGTTTTGCATACACCAATTTTGCCAATGGGTCAAGGTGAAATCTCAATCTCACCGACGAGGGTCAAAGCAATTCGGATAAGAAAGGACGTTAGTATTATAGTATTTGACCTCAGTTGTTTGTTTTTGTTGGAATGCTGAAAGATTTTGTCTTTGACATTTTCCGTTCAGTAAATTTCGACATATTTATGATAGATTGTGCTAAAATTTATTTAATAAATAAATAAATTCAGAAAATTGAAACTGACATTTTTTTTTTAATTTTGATCCTGAGTTATTTTGAAATAAGTGTAGGCATTAATTATCATTATGACGTGATGCTATTGGATTTTTGAGGAAATCCAGACTAAGAAATTCAGTGGACAATTCGAATTTTCCAAATCAATAGGGATTTCTGCATAAAATGCTTGGGTATCATCGGTTTACTGCCTATCAGCAAGGTATACAATTTAATGATTGCTTTTTCAAACAGGGTTTTCACACAAAAAATCATATCAAATGGCGAATAGTACTTATCTTATACGTTATTAAACTGTAAAAAAAAAACAGTTTTACAAACAATAATTTTGAGAAGTTCTGATTATTACCCTAGAAATGAAATATTCTTTCAAATTAGCCAAGTTGACTTGAAAATCTTTCAAAAGGTTTTGATCAAAACTAGGAAAATTGAAATTTGGGATCACACCGATTGTCTCTAGATCTTCGAAAAGGCCAAAGAACTTGTAAGTCGATTTACTTTTTCTAGAACGGAAATCCTCAATTTAAAATAACATTAATCTTAGTTTGGGTACAATAACATTGACCCAAATTCAATGTAACGAAAAAGCGTGCGAGAGGGAAGAAACTTTATGCAAAAAAAAAATTCATTTGACAATACCTCATCGTTTGCTAATGAAATGTTAGAAAGGGATAGAATATCCGGTGTAGGCGTGTCGATATTTCAAATAAGTTTTTATAAACACAGGAGAAGAAGTGGAGTGGCAGGTAAAATGCGTACGGTTCCAAAGGGATTAGGAAATTATTGCTTTGGATATACAAAGTTTTTTTTTTTTTAGTTTCACAATCGAGGTTGCAATGCAATATCTAAAATTTAGAAGATAATACCTATGTAACTTGAATTTTCTTTCAAAATTTTGACATGAGAAACATACCTACCTACTTCTGAACAATATCAATATAAGGGTTGTTCATTCTGAAACTTACTACCCATATCTCAGAAATTATAATTTAGATTTCTATAAAAATTTTAAAAATTATAACTTTTTTTCTATTAGAGAGAGAAAACTGAAATTTTCATTGATTCTTATCCCAGTAGAGGACTACAATCCTGAAAATTTCAGCTCATTTGAACCTATAGTTTTAGAAATAAAATCGTGTTAAGCAATTTGGGGTGATTTATCAATTTTTCAATTTTTTCGAGTGCCTTTTTTCATAGAATCGGGCTCCAAATATCAGAATAATTTAGTGTATGGAGTTTGGGGGGTCCCAAAGGACCATTAGGAGACAAAATCTCAACAAAAAAAATTTGAAATTTCATCGTTTTAGTACTGAGGTAGCTACCTTATGATTTAGATTTTGGAAAACTTTGAAAGGTGATAACTTTTTTTCTATTATAGATAGAAAGCTGAAATTTCCAGTGATTCTTAATCCAATAGAGGACTAAAATCCCTGAAAATTTCAACTCATTTGGACTTATAGTTCCAGATATGAAATCATGTTAAGCAATTTGGGGGAGTCCCACATTAAGACACAAAATAGTTGTCGATAGTTGTCCAGTTTTTGCGTTATCAGCCTTCAAAATTGATAATTTCTAGGAAATGTTTTTATAAACATGTCATTTCCTCAATCCACTGCATTATTGGAGGGAAATAGTATATTTCCTAACAAGTCCGCAAAGTAAGTCTTGTTCGCACGCTGACTGCATTGACCGAACGACGCGGAGCGGAGTTCGGGCAGCAGTCGAGTGCGAACAAGACACTTTGTGCAAGAGTCAGGAACAGTATTTTTTCTACGAGCGAGAAAATTTATGAGAATAAAAAATGAGACAATAAACTTTAAAAAAAAAGATTCAAAACAAAATACCCATTCAAAAACAACCAAAAACTGATTATTTCATTTGATTATTGTGAACGATATGGAGCGATTTTTCGGATGACCTTTGGGGTATCAGACTACTACAGGCACTGGCGGCTCTATCTAAAATATGGTTGTATTTCCTCGTTCTCTTCTGCTGCAATGTTTCCCATTTTTTTGCGAGTATCTAGGCTTAGGCTCACGATGTAGTTAAAATAACGACCAAAGAAAAGATGATAAATTAATTTGTTTGACGCTGACGTGACAGACCTATACACACTGACGGCAAATGTCATGCAATCATAAGGCCTGTTTCCACAGAAATCACAAACCAGTCAGACCGAATTACATTCGTTAAAAATAATCAGAAAACTAGTTGTTGGCGATTTGCACCAATCAAAGACGCTCTGACTGGTTTGTGATTTCTGTGGAAACAGACCTTTTAACGGTACATGAATATTTTTACTGGTACTTTGTCAAAATTAAATCTTGTCAGCACTAGTGCGCAAAATCAAGTCTTGTCCGCACTAGTGCGCAAAATTAAATTTTGCGCTACCAACTACGTGTGCAGAGTACCTATTTTGCACACGCTCGTAGAAAATAGTATATTTCCTAACAAGTGCGCAAAGTAAGACTTGTTCGCACGCTGACTGCAGTTGACCTAACGACGCGGAGCGGAGTTCGGGCAGCAGTCGAGTGCGAACAAGACACTTTACGCAAGAGTCAGGAACAGTATTTTTTCTACGAGCGATAAAATTTATAAAAATAAAAAATGAGACAAAAAACTTAAATAAAAAGATTTAAAACAAAATACCTACTCAAAAACAACCAAAACTAATTATTTCATTTGATTATTGTGAACGATATTGAGAGATTTTTCGGATGACCTTTGGGGTATTGCAGGCACTGGCGGCTCTATCTAAAATATGTTGTATTTCCTCGATCTCTTCTGCTGCAATGTTTCCCATTTTTTGCGAGTATCTATAGGTTCAGGCTCACGATGTAGTTAAAATAACGGCCAAAGAAAAGATGATAAATTAATTTGTTTGACACTGACGCGACAGACCTAGGTATAAACACTGACGGCAAATGTCATGCAATCATAAGGCCTGCTTCCACAGAAATTACAAACCAGTCAGACCGAATTTCATTCGTTAAAAATAGTCAGAAAACTGGTTGTTGGTGATTTGCACCAATCAAAAACTCTCTAACTGGTTTGTGATTTCTGTTAAAACAGACCTTTCAACGGTACGTGAATATTTTTACTGGTACTTTGTCAAAATTAAATCTTGTCAGCACTAGTGCGCAAAATCAACTCTCGTCCGCACTAGTGCGCAAAAGTGAATTTTGCGTTACCAACTGCGTGTGCAAAGTACCTATTTTGCACACGCTCGTAGAAAAAATAGTTTTTTCTACAACTGACAAGTAATGTCATTATTATTTTACGGTATTTAATGCGACAAATGTGTCATTTTTTAACAGGTGATAATTTTCCAAAGCAACGTGCGCTAAAAATTTCGCACCCTAGTGCGCGAAATATTTTAGAGCACTAGTGCGCGAAATATTTCAAAAAACAAAAAATACTCTGAATTAATTGAACTGTAATTTTTTTATTTTATTTATTATTAACAATGTGAATAGTACAATTATTGCAGTAACTGATAGTAATTCCTGTTGATGTTGATTTCGCTGAAATATCTGAAGATACTCTTGTTGTGGATGGTGCAATTACTGACTCAACATTTGGAAGAGTTGAATGATCACTACCATTATCATAATAATTTTGACCAGAGTCCTCATTTGTACTGCTTGAAATACGTTTCGCAATTTCCATTTTATTTTGCACAGAATCCTCGACATATCCTTCTGCAACCATTGTGGACTTCCAGCCTCCGTGCCGCTTCAACATGGTAATATCAGCTCCGGTGTTGGCTAATAAAGTTGCCGAAGTACGGCGAAAACAGTGGCCGGTATACAATTCAGTTTGAGGTAGACCAAGAAATTTTGCTATCATACTAGGAGTTGCCCCTATTTTATTTATACCAACAACTTGGTTTGTGCACTTTCCTTTCTGATAGTTAATGAAGAATCGTTTGCAGCTTACATGAGAGGGCCGAAATTCTGCATATGTCCGGAATATTCGAATGTATTCAGGATTGATGATTGTGAATATTCTTTGGGCATTAGTTTTAGTATCTGGAACAGTAATTATTAACACGGATCCTTCATCTTGAATATCATCAACGGTCATTTTTACAAGCTCATCACGCCGGCAAGCTCCAATGATGAGCAGAACATTGGACAGAAGGTAAGAGTCATCTGGAGCAGTAGTTAAAAATTTGGAAATATCAGCACTTGTGAATACCTTGGATTTTTTTGCTCGATATCCTACCATCTGTTTTTTGAGGAATGGGAGGGACTATCTTCAAGTATTTTGTAACATCTACGTTTTCTTTAACGTTTAAGGTAGATTTGAGCATGGAGTAAGTGGACCACAATGTAGACCCTTTTACAGATTTTGCCTTTTCAGCTAAATAGGCCAAAAGAACGTTTTCACTTACCGATCCAACGTTTTTTTCTTTTCGATATTTGAGAAACTGATCATATGCTTTTTCATAATGTATTCTGGACTTGGATGGAAAAAGGTCTTGTACTGCCTCATTTGCGACTCGTGCAACATCTGGTGGAGTACCAGATATTTCTATTTCTTATTCTTTTTTTTGACAAATGTCAAACATTTACACGTAGATCCGTCACATACCAAACATTACTTTGAAAATTTTCTATTTGAAAGCAAGTATGTATCAATGACCTATTAACACAGATGGACAGAACATCCCATTGATAAAATAGCTTTGTTTTGGTTGACTACATGTTTATGGGCCAGGGGGGGGTGAGCTGTGAAAGCGGCTAGGAGTAGGGATTCAAATGATTCCGCTAACTCCGCCTCCATTTTACTATCGCATACTTGGCAACTCGGAAAATGAAACCAGAATCAGTGCTACAAAAGTGTATCTTTATCCTTATATTTTACATAATTTTAGAAAAAGATGCGGATACACTCACTGCGCACTGATTGACAAATGGAATTTGTCATAAAATACCTGCAGGTCACATTTTGGCATGACAATTGAATAGAAGCCGCTGATTGGTGGAAAGGTGGAATTCGAGGTGGGATTAATTTTTTTGCAGCGTTGCTAATTTTCATTGAAAAATAATCGCTCTCCACGTGTTAGAGAAAGATACAAAATAACACAAGGATTAATAAGTAGTGGGGAGAGATGCGGTTCCTGGCATGTAGTCAACCGATATTATTGTTTATTGTTCTGTCTATCTGTGTTAATAGGTCATTGGTATGTATACATAATCGCAAAAGTCATTGTTAAATTTCAGATGCTGCAGTTGTAGAAAAAATAATGTATACAACTCGGTTGCGAAAGAATTTCGCGGCTTCGCTTCATATTATGACTCGGCTTTGCCTCGTCATAATATTTGCTCATGCGCGAAATTCTATTTCGCAACCTTGTTATATAAATAACTATTTTCTACAGACGTCAAAAAATGATGACATTTTCACACTCATTTCCGTTCGAAAAATGCCACATTGGTTTTATTTACCTTAACGACGTGCACGAAATATTTCGCGCACTAAGGCACGAAATACTTCGTGCACGCTCAGTGGCGATATAACAAAAATACATAAATAAAAGAAAATTTAACTCATATATTCTGGGGTACCTATCCACTTAAATTGAATAAGAGCAGGATATTGAACTTTTTCGATTCATCCTCGAAATTCACTCAAAGTTTCACTCACTTTTTTGACGGTTTGGTGCGAAAATCATCATTTTTTGATTTCTTGGTCAAAAGGTTTGCTGCAATTGCAAAACTAGCTGTATTATTATATTGGGAACTACAAATTCTTCTACAATTTCTATTTCTAATTTACATTTTTTGCCGAAATGATGCCGCGTCGGTCAGACCTTGGGAAAAAAACTTTGACAAGCAGTATGTCATGGTGCATGGTGTGTCATGATTTATTAAAAAAAAATTCCGTAGCAACCATTTAACAGGCTGTTCTGAAATAGAATTTCCTTGAATTATTTGATTTTGATATGACCCAAAATTATTTCAATTCTGTCTGTAGAAAAAACGTTGTTTGCAACTCACTAGATACAAAAATAACTATTCTCGATTTTGATGTGAGAATGTCATTATTACCGCACGCAAAATTTTTAATGACATTTAGTTTTCAAAGTATACCTATTGGTACCTTCAAAATTGTCACGAAATAGGTTATACTATTACTGCGCATCCGGTTGCGCATAGCGCATTGCGGAATTTTTGGAAAGCTAGAGACTTACGAAAGATCGGTCCGATCATTCGATTCTGTTTCATCTTTCTCTGTCATACCAATTCACAAGACAAGGACACCGTATGAGTTACAGAGCTTTCCTAGCTGTTTTGTAGAAACCTATCAAACATCCATAACTATATGACTCATTCATAAGAGATTTTTCTGTTCAAAACATAAGGGCTGTAGATATCGAAAAGCCAAATAGTTTAAAGAACTACATTGACATCAAAAACAATCTAAAACTACTCCATCTAAATATCAGAAGTGTACACCAGAACTACGACAAACTTCTATGTCTGTTGAATCAAATAGGCTTCAATTTTGATTTAATTATATTAACAGAAACATACCACATCTTTGACGAACAGGTCTTCAATTTGGACGGATACAAAACTATATACAATAGGGGACAGTATAACAAGTGCGATGGGACAATTGTATTTTTGAAAAATACAATACCCCACACCTATAAATTCGAATACATCGGTCAAGTAAAAGCCATAGAACTAGAACTCGATACGAATCTAAATCATAAAATTTTAATAAGTTGTATATACAAATCCCCTAATATCACCAAAGCAGAATTTATTAACGATTTTGCACAGTATCTTGAAATGAAAAAACATGCAAAAAACCATATAATTACTGGAGACCTCAATATGAATTTACTATCATTATCACCTGAAGACGAAGAATACAAAAATATTCTAAATTTCTATTTCTTTACGTCTTATATTAACACAGTAACTAGGCCTCAAACAAAATCATGTCTTGATCATTATTTCGTAAAGGTCTGTAATCAGGATGTTTTGGAAACGCCAAAATCTTTTGTATTGAAAATCGATTTAACAGATCATTATCCAATTGTTTTAAGCTTACCAACTAAAGAACTTAAAATAAATGAAAATATTCGACACACAAAAAAATATATTAATTATAATGCTCTAAAAACTGATTTAAACAAAGAAAACTGGAACATGGTATATACAGAAAAAGATCCTAGTAAAGCAATGGAAGCTTTTATTCATGTCCTAACGCAATTCATCAAAAAACACACCCAAGAAATCAAATTAAACAATAAGAATTTCGGAAGAAAAACTTGGATCACAAAAAGCCTACTTAAGAAAATACAATACAAAAATGATTTGTACATAAAATGTCAAAATGCGCCACACAATGAACAATTAAAAGAAACATACAAAAATCACAAAGCGGAATTGAATAAAATTATCAAAACAACAAAAAAAAGATATGTACAAACACAGATAAACCAAAATCAAAATAAAAATAAAACTCTCTGGAATTGTGTAAACAATATATGTACCAAAACGAAGATTGAAAAAAATAAAATAGAAAATATAAAAATAGAAAACGGAAAAACCTTAAATAACTCAAAAGACATAGCTAACCATTTTAACACATATTTTACAGAACTGGGGCAAAAACTAGCTAGTCAAATAAATCTGACAGGCGATGACGATATCATTGAAAACATCGAACACTCTATTTATTTGCACCCCACAACACAAAATGAAGTAAGGAATATCATTACAGACTTAAAAAAAGGAAAAGCTCCCGGCATTGACGGGATTAAATCAGAAACATTACAAGAATTGAAAAATGAAATATCTTTTACACTTGCATACATTATTAATCTCTGTTTTGATTCGGGAACTTTTCCAGATATTTTAAAAATAGGACAAATTACACCTATACATAAAAGTGGTTCATTAGTCGACACAAGCAATTATAGGCCCATATCATTAATTTCCAACATTGCCAAAGTTTTCGAAAAAATTCTGAAGACTCGCTTGACATCATTTTTAAATAGATTTTCTATTCTTTCTGACGAACAGTATGGCTTTAGAGAGAAAAAATCAACACAAGATGCTATTTTAAAATTAACATCCCATTTGTATGAGTCTATGGATAAATCGAAACCGTCATTGTGTATCTTTGTTGATCTCTCGAAAGCTTTCGATACCGTTGATCACACTATTTTACTCAGAAAGCTTAGTTACTACGGAATTAGAGGTACCGTATTAAGTCTACTCAGAAGCTACTTAACAAACAGAAAGCAATTAGTAACAGTAAATGGTGTCGAAAGTTCTTACCAAAATGTCACGTGCGGCGTACCACAAGGCACAGTACTTGGCCCTTTACTTTTCA